GTCTTAACATCCCATAAACGGATAGAGCTATCACTATTTCCGGATGCTAAAGTAGCACCATCAGGAGAGAAGCATACTGAATTCACATAGCCGCAATGCGCATTCAATTTAGCTGTTTACTATCCTGTCTAAACATCCCATAAACAGATAGACTCGTCCCAACTGCCAGATGCTAAAATATTACCATCAGGAGAAAAGCATACTGAGTAGACTGTTCTACTATGGCCATTCAATTAAATTTTTTATTATCCTGTCTTAATATCCCATAAAGAAATAGAGTTATCACTACTACCAGATGCTAAAGTGATACCATCAGGAGAGAAACATACTGAATTCACAGAACTACAATGACCATTTAATTTGGCTGTTTATTATCCTGTTTTCACATTCCATAAACGGATAGACTTATCTAAACTTCCAGATGCTAATGTAGATTCATCAGGAGAGAAGCATACTTATTAGACTATATTACAATGACCATCTTTGGCTTTTTGTTATTCTGTCTTAACATCCCATAAACGAATTGATTCATCCAAACTACCAGATGCTAATATATTACCATCAGGAGAGTAACAGACTGATTTAATATAATTAGTATGAGCATCAAATTTGGCTCTTTATTATCCTGTTTTCACATTCCATAAACGAATAGACTCATCACAACTACCAGATGCTAATGTAGTACTATCAGGAGAGAAGCACACCGAGTAGACCGCTCGACTATGATTATCCAATTTGTCTTTAAATTTTACTGTTTTAACATCCCATAAAAAAATTGACTTATCATCACTACTTGATGCCAATGTAAAACCATCAGGAGAGAAGCAAACTGATAGGATTTCACCTCTATGACCCTATAATCTTGCCTTTTTTTTTTTCGTCTTAACATCCCATAAAAAGAGAGACTTATCTTAACTACCAGATGCTAACGTAGTACCATCAGGTGAGAAGCAGACAGTGTATACTGTTCCACTATGACCGAAAAATTTGGCTTTTTATTGTCCTGTCTTAATATCCCATAAGTAAATAGACTTATCATCACTACTTGATGCCAATGTAAAACCATCAGAAGAAAAGCAAACTGATAGAATTTCACCTCTGTGACCCTATAGTCTTGCCTTTTTTTTTTTCGTCTTAACATCCCATAAAAAGAGAGATTTATCTTAACTACCAGATGCTAACGTAGTACCATCAGGTGAGAAGCAGACTGAGTGTACTGTTCCACTATGACCACCTAATTTGGCTTTATATTTTCCAGTTTTGACATCCCATATACGGATGGACTTATCATCACTACTTGATGCTAGCGTAGTACCATCAGGAGAGAAACAGACTGAGTTCACACAACTATTATGACCTTCTAATTTATTTAATTCTTGTATTTTAATATTTTACCATTTGCAATTGAAAAGTAGAGCTCCATTTAGGTTCATACCACTTATATCTACATTATTGAATTCTGATCCACTCAAATTGCTTCTTGCAAAATTACCCTCAATTAAAGAAGTATTCTAAATCTTTATATTTTCCAAACATTAATTCCTTAAATCAATTTTCATTTAAACTAATAAGTACAAAGAATTCGATCCACATACTATGAATTAGTTATCAATAGATGTTAGGTGAACTAAAAATTTAAAAAATGTAATGATCTTCTTATTATCTTCGATTTTCTTCATAATAATTTGTTTAATTTCCTAGTATTTTTCAGTTGAAAAATTATTGTTATTAAAGTCATGATCTTTAATTAATTTGAGAATATTTGAAATTATTTCAATACTATTTCTTAAAATGTTTAATTTCTATTCTTTATCCTCACATGATAAATTTTCTATTTTTAAAATA